ATGTGCTCTCTGTGCTCTGTGTTTTTAACGCTTAAGACAGTTAAGCCGGAGCACCCTATCAGAACTGGGGAAGGTTCGTGGCAGAAACTTGTATTTAGATTTCGGCAAGGCTCCCTAAACGCTCTTGTTTCCGATGATACGGGTGGCATTGACAGCATGAGTGTGATAATTGGGGCTTTGAGGGCGGAAGTGCAGTTAACGAACACAGCTTTTTCAGTTGAAATTGAAGAGCTGTATTATTCTGTACCCCATACCAAACTGTTTGCAGTTCTGCGCAAGGCCATTGAATTGCAAGGCGAGACCTCTTTTTGCAGCCTTGCAACTGAGAGTGTAATTGAACTTTGATCTGTTGGCAACTTCTGTCACCTTCGATGACAAGTTGTTTTTACAGAAAAACGGTTTATGCATAGGGTCTTGTGTTGCTCTGGTGCTTTGCAGTATTTTCTTAGCCAATTTTGACAGTCACTTGTGCCAAAGCTTCGATGATCACCGGGGAGCTGGTTTTTTCAGATATGTTGATGATTTCATTTTTCTTAGTATTGACGGGAGTGATTGTGTCTTACCCCCGTATTCACAAACGCTCCTCGACTCGACTTTAACCCTTCACTTGACAGAGTTGAGCACTGCGCCGCTGATCGGCTGAAAAAGACGCTGCGCTGCTCAAGAATCGCACCACATTATCGCTGATATGCAGTGACTTGCCATGCCTAGAGAGGGCGCTTCCATCGGCTTTCTCGAGTGAAGGTGAAGCGTTGAGTGAAGGGACGTTGTAGAATACGGGGGTTAGACGTCATTGGTAACATCATTTCAGTGTTTCAAACATGCTGCTGACACTTTCGTTTCACGCATGAAGTTCCGCAGGAAATTATCATTAGGTTTCTAGACCTTACACGCTTGTTTCATCCTCATGTTCACATGTGCAGGAAGTATAGTCCAAGGACTAAAAAGAATCTTTTGTCCTATGATTCCTTTCACTTCAAGCTGGTCAAAAGAGGTATTGCCAATTTTTGTCTGTTAAATGCTGTTACTTAGTTGCAATCATAAAATGCAAAATAGCATGGTTGAGCAGCAAAATAGATTTTTGTTGGCTGGCTACCTGAAGTCATAGATAACTTCTGTTGCTGAATATGTGTTTAAGCGCCTCAAAGTAAAACACAGAAGTGATGGTGGTGTTCGAGAACAGAAGAAGCTTGTGGTTATGCCGTATGTACATGGCATATCACATGGATTGGAAATGGTTCCGGCCAGGGTTGCTGTAAAACTACTCTGTTCCACACCCAGCAAACTCGCGAGTCTTTGTAAGAGGGTTGTGCAGCTCGGCACGAAAAGCAGGATTTGCGACTTAAAGCAAATCAAGAAATACTGCGTGTGTAACACGTGTGGTGTATAGCATCCCTTCAAGTTATAACAAGTTTTATGTTGGACAATCTGGTTCATGTGTAATTGTTCGGTTGAGGGAGCATGAAAATTTTCTACCCTCGTTAACTGGTGGTAAAATGCCGTTGCGTTGCAAGTTGTGTGGTTGTACGCCCCTGTTTGATAAGGTTACAATTTTAGGTAAGGCTAAGACACTGCGAATGTGGGAGATTATAGAGGTATTCTATATTTGGAAAGTTGTTTCAGACAAATGTGTCAGTGCAGTTTTGGTTTATCTCACAAAGAAAGAATGTTTTTGTTTCTAGCACAGAGGTGATCTGCTTAGATTAGCTGGTTTTTGTGGTTTGTTATCTGAGCGTGCGTTGCACATACTTAGGAGGAAGGTTTTTTTTTTCGAAATGTCAGTTGTTAGTGCCACGTCTGTTTCTGCAGCTCTGCTCCCCCCCCCCCCCCCCCAGTTTCGGCGTTTCGTGGCTTCATTTGTAGTTTACTAAGTATGTACCAACTTGCCCAACAAGCAACTCTCCTGAGCCTCTGCAGCACTGGTACACTATTAAGTTTTGAAGTAGTGATGAATCCCTACGGGAGGGATCATTTTCTGTCAATTCTGAACTTACAGAAACAGGTTGATTGCATACCATCTAGACCTGGGTGGAAGACTGCTGCAGCAGACGAATAAATTCCAAGACTGCTCACTTCTAGTGCGGGGGGACATTATCACTCCCAATGTAGGTGATGCAGTGGCATATGTCACAGCTTATCTCATGAATGCTGTGACCATCAGTGACAGAATCATCAATAGGCAATCAGTGTAAGAACATTTCTCACTTTGTGGGAGCAAACTTTGCGAGGAAGTTGGTGTTTGACTCTTGCAGTACAGCCTGATGGTTCCAGTGAAACTCCTACCTCCGTGGGCAGTGACAGGTAGTACAAGGAGACATGTCATTTACTGATGTCATAAAGCATGTCCCCGATATTATTATACAAAGGTACTTTGAACAGCTGCGAGCGAAAATCTCCTGCCCTGAATTCTACTGAGGCACGTCAAAATTGAACCTTGGTGTGTCGTACATGGCCATTGGTTTGTCCTTCTCTGAATTTAGTGCTCTTGCACCAGAAACGAGATCTTTTCTGCAGAAGCATAGGCGCTTCTGTCAGCAATGAATCATATTAAGGAGGAGGAGGAAAGGTGCATAAGGGGGTAATTTGAATGACATGTGCCATCTGCGCCAACAATCAACAAGGTGTAATATGCTGGGTTCATGGGACCATAGGCATCAAAGGTAATGCCCTTGTTTACGAAATGACAACATCGATAATAAGCAAACGAAGTACTTCCTCAATAGCTGTTCCTGCCACTGCCTTGAACCCAACTTTACGAAAAGCACTTAAGGGTTATTGACAGCAATTGTGTGATGAGGATGCCTTAATCAAATTACACCTAATCTAGCCACAGCTGGGACTCTGGCAGCGAACAAGAATACGAAAGAATGATGTCATCTCTTGTTGCCTAAGTATAGGAGGCAGGTACGGCACACATTCGTATGTCCTAATTGGTTAAGAGCCTCCTATTTTTCGGAAATGTAGCAACAGGCTGACTGACATCCACGTCTTGATAGAGTGTCGGGGAACTGAAACTGATCACAAACACCACTTCTCTTTGTGGGGTTCATGCGGGTGCTTGAAATCCTTGAAAATCCTTGAATTTGAAAAATTACTTTTTAAGGATTTCAAAAGTGCTAGAATTTTTGCAAATGCATTATTTGGGATGCCGTAAATGTAGCAGGTTGCATATGTAATGTCCCTATGACAAAAGAATTTAGAACATCAGTAGCTTGTGCACGAAACCTACTCCATGCATTTCTGGAAACTTGGAAAAGGCAGGAACAGAAAATGACTGTTGCATTGAGGAGGAGATGACTACGCTTACAAAAAGGGTAAAGAAACTTGAAGCCACTTTTACAGCAGACTCTTATGCGGAGACAGTTAGCGACCTGGTGTACGTCATCAAGGCCTTAGGAAGACTACCTAGACCAAGCAGCAGGAGATGGTGGATATGAAAATTCAGAAAAAGGCATTGCGTAATAACTGTTCCATAGTTTCGTTACGTAATAACTGTTCCTTGGCCAGCTCGCTGGCTGGCATGCACGCACTTGTTGGGCCACATCTCTGTGCAGCATCGTCACTGAAATCCTATAGTTAGCTTTCACTTGAAAAAGGTATGCACTGAAAGAGCACGAAAGGGGCTGAAGGCATAAAAACTTAATGATGCAATAGAGAGGCCAACATTTTGCAAGGATCCCGGCTGTGGCGGCTGCATTTCCGATGGAGGCGGAAATGTTGTAGGCCCGTGCACTCAGATTTGGGTGCACTTTAAAGAACCCCAGGTGGTCTAAATTTCCGGAGCCCTCCACTACGGCGTCTCTCATAATCATATAGTGGTTTTGGGACGTTAAACCCCAGAAATCAATCAATCAAATCAACATTTTGCAAGGACTGTGTTTGGTTTGTGCAGTAACAGGATATCAATTTATTTTGCAGGGACTTGTATAAAAAGACATGGCATTGTCAAGTCCCATCATAAGCCACAAAAGAAAAGAGATTTGAAATAGCATATACAGAGTAACAATTTTTCAGAGCTTGAAAAGCGGTGGAAAAATGAGCATTAATATCATGTTCATCTGCCAGTGTTGCGCCACTTGCTTCACAACCTACAGATTGTGCGTTGACAGATGAGAAGCTTGCCAAGACTTCTTCATTGGTGGATAACCTTAATTTGCCGTGTCTGCTATAAAGGTGAATGAAAAACTAGCATCAGACACATGATCAAGGTGTCTTGAGGAGCTTAGTTGGAATAAGGTGCGTTAGCACAGGATGTTCCTGGGTGCGTCTGTGCAGCTATGTTCGGTATCCCTAGTTTACCAGCGCTCTACAGTCAATAAAAACACATAATAGTTTGCGCTCAATCTGTTTGGTGTACCTTCTTTGTGCTGTTCTTTTCTATTTTAGCTCAATATGTTCAGGCAGGATACGGTATCTGTATTGACATTAACGCATGGCCAACAGTGACCTGTTTGTCACGGGGGTTAATTAATTGACTGATATAGATAGCTGTTTACATGTGCAAGTGCATAAAGTGTAAGAATTGTTGACTAACTGCTAATGTTTGATGGCAGATAACAAGGTACGTAATCACATGCTTTCCAACAGTTTTGGCATCTGTTTATTCGTTTCAGTGCCCTATTATGCACCCACAGATGAGCGGACTTCTGCAGCCATATCCAAGCTACAAGCAATGCCATCTATACGAGCCAAGCAAACAGGTTTACCTTGATAATTGATGATAGTGCAGGCTAGGGACATAAACAAAAGAAGGCACATTCAGTTCAATACTGTGCTTTGTTGTCTTGAATGTGGCTTTCTTTGTCTTGCATTACCGTCAATTATCATGCTAACATACCAATGGGCCCAAATTGCAGTAGTACCAAATCGCCGTATTATTGAGGTTTACCATTGTTAATGGGATGATATGTTCTACTTGTTAGTGTATGCATCAACAGCATATTTCCCTTTAAGGAAATATAGTGTGCTAATAATGCGTGACTCTCAAATGTCTTTACTAGGCCAAGGTGAGTTTCGCAGCCTGGTAGCCTGGCTCGAGGATCAGAAGATACGTCACTACAAGCTTGAGGATCGTGCAGCCTTGCGAGCACTAGACGCGCCTGGATGGATGCAAGCATTTGAAACGGTTTGTGTTACTCGCAATGCATGAGTAACCAGTTATGAAAATATGTCAGCTCAGCTTATTTTGCAAATTCTTCAGCATTTTTTTCTCACATGCAATGGTTAATTTATGAAATATCCCATTGTCTTTTTGGTTAGCTTTATATGTTCACATTGATGGCCCTGCTGCTACATTTGACAAAACCCATCTAATTGCCATAGAGTAGTGGAACAATGCCGGGTGAGCTTATAAAAATGATTCAGGAACTGTATAAAAGCTCTGTTAATGGCAGTCACGTGTGTTTACTCACCGCACCACCTTTTATACTCCCACCTTTTTTTTTTTTTTTCACTACTGCGCTTATTGACACAATGTCTCGCAGGGGACTCACAATGTTAGTGATAAAGATGTGAAGTAACATATAGTTTCTATATATCTGTTCTGGCACAATATTAATATATAATAGAAACAAAAGGCACCTTCACTGCTGTGTACCAATTGATCCTATGTCAAAGACTCGAAGAAATTTAGTGTATTGGTGCAGCACACACTTGTTTATTGTTTTTATAATACTTTCTATAATTACGTGTTCGGGTAATAGAAACATTTTTGCAGTCCTGTAACATTTAAATTGCAGAGCTTTCACTGTACATCTATAATGCAAATCCTTCTAGGCTTCTCCTTACTAGAACACATAAATAACTTGTGGACACTTTTCATGCTTCACTTTGAGTGGCTGTCTTCATGCACTAAACCATAATTTGCACTGTGCAAGCCATTGACAGTATAAAAAAAAAAACTTGTAAAAATGACCGAGGGAGTGACATTAAGCCTGAATTATAGTGCCTAAAAAATAGTACCTAAAGCAGGGTGTCTACTAGCCTGGTAAAGTTGGGGAGTAGTCAAGGCATTATTGAAAAACCTGGCCAGGCTGTAGAAGCAGTCTGTGTCATGAAAGTTGTATCTACCTTTGATCAGAGCTTGAAAAGTTGCTCCTTCGGCTGCAGCCACAGTGAACACCTGAGCAGAAGCGTAACAAAAAAAAAGCAAGCGTAAAAAAAAGAGGTGGTGCATTACTGTTGCTTCTGCATATCACTTAGGTCCCAAGCATTAAGTTACTCATGCTGATAAATTTAAAAGCACTGAAATTTGGGCAACTTTTTAATTAAACATAGTGGTATTTAGAGCGTGTAAGTAGACAAGAAACGAAAGACGGAGGTAGAGAGACGAGCACTCACTTCAAACTAAAGTTTATTCACAGAAAAGGCCAGGTTTTATCCTACACCGAACATGGAAACGCATGCGTGAAACAACAATCTAAAAAACACGGAGGACAGCTATCATCTCGGAGGTAAAAAAACCACAAAACACCCCACGTATCTTCTGCGCATGAAGACATCATAAGAAAAAATGAAACAACTGAGGTGAAAGACCACACATGTCAGGGCAAGTAAGAAAGTGGCTATCGCTGGCCTGCTCTCTGCGTCGAAAAACTTATTTAAGTAAGCCACTTCACTGGTTAGTAGAATAATAAGTGGCTGGCTGACGCACGTGGAAGCATTTTCATGAATATAGAAGGCATTCATTATATCTCTTGTTGTCCTGTTTCTGCGCCAGAAAAGAACGAAAGTATTGTTAAACTCTGGAGTGCACCCACATTCTTGACAGTGCCGTGCGAGGTGTGAATATGGAACGCCTTTTAAGGAACTATGGTGTTCCCTTAGTCTGACATTTAGGCAGCGGCCAGTCTGACCTACATAGCATAGGCCGCATATGAAAGGAGTACTGTAAACAATGTTGGAAATACAGTAAACAGAAGGCATTCCATGGTTAACGTTGCATGTGGACTGCTTTGGCAATCCTTTGTGAAGAGCTGGACAGATGGAACCTATTTTATGCTTTGCATTAAAAACAACGTCCACATTGCATCAAGAGGCCACTTACTTCAGTGAATGAGAAAAACCGTGAACCTGTGGAATTAAGGCGTACTTTCTTCTCTCCTCCACTGGGGCAACAGTTTCTTCATCATTCGGTTTTGCCGTGATGAGTCTCAGGCACTTTTGGCTTGCTGTGGCGATGCTGCTTTCAGGGTACCCAGCCTCGCGTAGTTTCTTTACTTGGCCTGTTGCACTTTCGTGCATCAAATGGTGGCATGATTTTGTGACTGCTGAACGGATGAAGTTAAAGGAACTTTTATTTTTTACCAGCTTGGAGTGCACGGAGCGTTTATCTACCAGTGCTTTTGAAAGGGGAGGCATGTATTTCCAGTACACGTGTGAACCACCTAGCACGAGGTTCAGGTCATGGAAGTGGATGGGTTGATCTTAAGGGGTTTCAAACGAAAACTTTGGGCCTAATCCTTCTTTCCTGAAGGCTTTCAAGACGTCCACTAGCTTGTGACTGAAATTGAGTGCATCAAAAAAACATGAGGTAGTCATCCACGTACCCCATTACTTTATGAGCCAACCCACACAGGCTCTTATTAACTGCTCTATCAACTTTAGTGGAGATAACGTGGCTTGAAATTGGTGCAACTTTGCGACCCTCTACACACACCGAAATGCCGAGCATAAGCGGCCCTTTTCCAAGACCTTAACGTGAATTGTAGGTAGAAAAACAGCAGCTCCTGGAAACTATCTACAGAAATGCCGCACCTGGTTCTAAATAAATCTCGTTATCTCACAAACACTTATTTACTCTCAATAACAAATCATTGTGAAGCAAAGAATAACAAAGGTGCTCAACATCGATGCTAAAAGCACTGCATCCAACCGGGTTCTCCTGGCACGGAAATGTCACAACAGAGAATGAGCTAGAAATGTAGTAAGGTTCATCAATTGTTAGTCTCCCAAAAGTTTCTGTAGGCAGCCTGACATTGCGTAGAGCCAGGAACCCTTCTCGGAAATGAACTTCGGGCTTGTGCGTCTTAGCGGAGACAAACACATTCATCAGTAATCCCTTGCTGTTCTTCGCTTGCAAGTTTCTGAAGCGAGAACTTGTTTAGGAGGTCAACGGCATGAGCTCTCACTTTCGCCGGCCTGTCAAACACCTGTTTTGAAGTTCTCGTTCACGGCTGCTGTTTTCTTCTCTGAGGACATTTCTTCTGCCATAATGACGAAGAAACCCTCTTTGTTCAACAAGACTGCTATGGGACCAGAAGTGGCAAAGAAGTTGACGACAGAACCGGTGCTCTTTTTGCTTGATGACGGTCGACCCAGTTTTGACAATGCGTTGATGCACTCTCCCATTCACACCGACCTAGAGTCTTTGGGCAGTCGAGCCACTATCGTCCTTGACAGCGTTAGCAACTCCCCTGGCTGTAACTGCTGTGCGAGACAGAACTTCGGACCAAGACGGAGCAAATGTTCTTCTTCTGGAGGGTTGAACTGGTTGCCAAAATTAAGCACACTATCCAACACCTTAGCTGACTTTTTCATCTTTGAAGGCAATAAAGGGTGTGTCTGATGCCAAAGCCATTCTGTTGTCTGGTTGCTCACCTTAGACCATATGTAGAAGTTTCTTGTCGCGCTCCTCTGGTGTACGTCCATGTTGCACGCAACATGTAGACAATCCTTGAAGAATCGTACTTCATGCCAATACTCTGCATTGAGTAGCCGGCACATCCTCTTGTAGTGACCAACAGAAGGGCGCAGAACACCGCACAGGACTTGCAGCTCCGGTGGACACCTAGAAGTTTTGGCTTACCATGATGCTGTCCTTGCACATGAAGTGTAGGCCGGGATCAATGAGGACAAAATGGCCGGATTAGTGAATGGAAAATTAGACTGACTGTAAGAGCCCTGTGTACTAGAAATCAAGTTTCAAAGCACTGAAAGTTGGCCAAGTTTGCACTTGAACATAGTGGTATTTAAAGTGCGTAAATAGACAAGAAACAAAAGACAGAGGTGGACAGACGAGCGCTCACTTCAAACTAAAGTTCATTCACAGAAAAGGCCTGATTTTATTCTACACGGAACACGGAAACGCATGCGTGAAACAACAATCTAAAAGACCCGGAGGACAGCTATCACCTCAGAGATAAAAAAAGAACAAACCCACATGTCTCCTACTCATGAAGACCATCATACAAAAAAAAAATTTGCCGGACAAATGGAACCTATTTTATGCTTTTCATTTAAAACGATGTCCACATTGTATCGAGAGACCACCTTCTTCAGTCGATGAAAAAGACCGTGAACATATAGAATGATGGCGTGCCTTCTTCTCTCCTCTACTGTGGCAACTGTTTCTTTGTCATTCGGTTTTGCCTTGATGAGCCTCAGGCACTTTTGGCTTGCTGTGGCAATGCTGCTTTCAGGCTAGCCAGCCTGTAATTCCCTCCGCAAACGCCACTCAGAATTAGCCAGTAGGAATTCGCCACTGAACTCTTCTACCATGCGGGCACAATGTCCGGTTAGTTGGAACCATCGAGCCGCTTGCTCCGTGAGCGACACCGGGGCCACCTGCTCGAGAAGTTCAGTGTCAGAAAGCCCCGTCGTTTGCTGATAGTGGAGCAACCGGTCGAGATACTCGGTGCTCTTGCAGTCGTCGTAACCACTGTAGGTAAGCATGTCTGCCTTGACACGGGGCCGCACATTCTGCACGGGGGCCTGCACTGTGTTCTGCAAGGCGCTCCTCGCCAGGCTTTGCATCACTGACAGCGTATTCTGTAAGACTACCTCGCTCGAGGGCAAACTGTTGCCCACAGACTCGCCTACAGTTGCGTCGTGTCGAAGCAACTTGTGGCAGCACCTCTCTCTTTGCATGGCGAGGCGACGGAGCGCCATGCGTGATGCTTTTCATCGTAGGCCCAGTCTCTGCTAATGCGGTCTTTGCAACCTCGTAGTTGTCCCACGTGAAGCGACCACAATCTACGCTGTCAGAAATTTCTAACAGTGCCCTTGCATGAGCCAGAAGATCGACACTCTGCGATGCGACATCAGACAACATGGACAAATCTTGGAATCAAAGGGTTAAGCTACCACAAATCACATTTCAAGTTTGAGCATACTGGGCACGTATTTTGATGGAGGTGAAATGCTAGTGTAGTGTGTGATTTCAGTACATGTTAAAGAATACCAGATGGCTGAAACACCAGATGGCACTTCATAATGATATCATGGTTCAAGACATATTATTTATTGTTATCGCTGGACCATACTGACGTGTACTATGTAGTTGAAGTAGTTGCTGCGTGCAACTGTGCCGGACAGTTCTGACTGGCTCATGCTATGTGTAAAGCTTTTGTCTAGCGCTAGTCCATAGTGTATTACAAAATTAAGCTCTGTAAAGTAGCTTTTAACGGTTATGGACCAAGCTACATTAAGCAGTACATATTTGTGCTTGAATAGACCTTGTTTAAAAAAAAGTTATACTACTTGTTTACGATAAAAGTTTGTACAGAGTGCTCAATTTACAAGTCTGACCATACGGTCTCTGGTCAGCAATACCAATCGTATTCATTTCCACCATTTTGGTATCTCTGTTCTGTTTATGGATGCAGCAAGTTGGTGTTTGAAAACTTGCCCAAGTTAAATATGAAGCTTTTCATTACTGCAATTTTCATGCAGCATTAATTATATTTCAGGTATAAAGGACCAGTTTTTAGAACCTCAATTTTATCAAGCGTCTATGAACTAGGATCCTTTTCATAAAGCACAACGACAGGCACTTGACGTCGCAGCGAAGGCCTAGGCTGTTCTGAAAGTATGAAAATCATAGTAGCCTTTCTGGATAGTAAATATAGTGCATAGAAATTTTATCCGGGTTGTGCTTGAAGTCTTGTATTTAAAGAATTGAAGAAAATTATGTTCCTTAACGAGTATAAGGTGAACTCCGTAGGGGTGGGGTGGGGGTGGGGGGGGGGAAGCATGGTTTGTGGCTTCAACTGTGCACAGAGAAATTCACTGAGGGTTAGGACATTGCCTGATGGGCATTTTGATTGCAGCTAAAGTGTCGGACATTTTGGCTTTCTACAAGGTACGCCATAAGTCACATTTTTTATGGTGTGGGGCAGCACCCGCTACACACTTTGTCGATTCGCCTGTCTGTGCACTTTGACGATGGTTGACGAAAAATTTCAGCTTTTCAGTATGTGGCAAGCGTTGTGCAATTAGCACTGCTTGTTATATTACAGAGGTTAACACAACTTCTTGCCCGACATGATGCCCGTATGCGGTGTATCGAGCACCAGTGTAGCTCTGTGGTGGAATACTCGGCTGCCAGGCACAGATTCCGTTCAATCCTCATTTTTTTTATTTTTCACATGTAACGGTAGTGCCACCTATGGCAGCGCTGCTCAATGCGGGAACGGGGGCCTAAGAGCTACACTCTAAAATGACAGGCAGTAACATAGTTTCATCTTTCGGTTTGTTCAAAGTGAACATGCATGTCAATATTTTTAAACATGTTTCATCTTTCCGTTTGTTCAAAGTGAACATGCATGCCAATATTTTTCAGCATGTAGATCAACCATAGAGACAAATGTTTGCTGTATAAAATGTTATGCTGAGCGAGAATTCAGCCCCAGGAGCTGTGCCAAAGTTGCTATGGTTGATCACATTACTGTGTCAGATGAAAACAGTTATCATTTCTTTGTAGCCATTCAAAGTGTTGAGAAGTAGCTGCAGAATTGCTGTGCAGTGCAACACATATTTTTTATGCATTTTTGGTTACAGTGTGAGATTGTTGAAGATGGAAGGGGCCCAGACGAGGGCCGATTCACAAATGCAAGTTTTATTTAAGAAAACACAACAACCTGAAAGCAGTAAAAAAAAGGATGAAAAGAAAGAAGCGTAACCACATTTCACAGAAATGTTATAAAGGAATATAAAAAATTGCGTTGCGTATTAATTTATGACCCCTGACTGAGGACTTATTCAAGTCAAGCGTGGCATCGTATACCAGATCCCTCTTACATGTGGGCGGTCATACGTCGGGCAGAGCGGCCGATGCATTAATGTCTGCTTAAGAGAGCACAGAAATTCGCTCAAGAATCTGAATGCTTGGCATCTGACATCGCACTGCAGCACGTATGGCTGTTCATCTGTTTTTGCCCATACAGAGCTTTTGTCGAAACAGTTCCCAGATAAAAATGGAAGTGATAGAAGCTTCCCATGTTAAACGAATGGATGCAGCATGCGTCAGTGAGTGAGGTGCTGCATCGATGTATCACATGAGAAAAGGATTGGCATATTTTCTTGGCACATGTGTCGTTGTGATAAGCCATGTAACTTTTTATATTCCTTTTTAACATTTCTGCACGATGTGATTAGGCTTCTTATTTTATCCTTTTTTTCCAACAGTCACATTATGAACCTTTTTTCATCATTTTTCTCACGTTCCTGTGTGTCAAGGATTACGGGCTGCTGCTGCGGGTGATGAACTGAGACATGACCCCGTGAACAACATATTTATTTAATAAACCCTGAGGGCAGTCTAATAATATATGCAAAAAATATACACCACAAATGTAATTAACACCAAATCAAACCTGCAAATAAATTCTTTCACAAACTAAACTGTTCTAAACATGGTCAGCATCTCTACCCTCTTAATTCCGCTCATGACTCAAGTCTATTCTACTTTTCACCACTGAACTTGTGGCCAATGTCCTGATTGGTTGTTTCTTTGCTGGGGTTGTCGACCTTCTCTATGAACGTCGCCGTTCGTGCCGCTGCCGACGTGGTCGCCTTACGTCGATGCTGACGTGGCAGATGCTTCGGTGGTTGGGCCTAGGGGCCGCTGGCTACACAGTGTTGTGGCCGGAGCTACACAGTGACTTGGCCACCCGGGGACTGTCTTCGGCAGCTTGCTTGGGTGAGGGGGCCTGCGCCAGGAAACGTCAGCGGTTGCTGTGCGTGGCTGCTGTATCCCAAGCAGCTTACCTCGCAGCAGGTCGAGGTCTCCACCCGCTGCTCGGGATGCCCGCGCCACAAGCTGCAGAGTCGCTGTTCTGACGCTTCCGTCACCAGTGTATTTGCTGGCAATGCGAAATTCTTGCAAGGCTACATTGACGATCCTCGCTCGTGGCTGCTCCACGCACCGTGGGCCTCGCTTTACGGTGTGCGTGCTCGCGCTTTTTCCAATTTTCTCTGAATTTTGTTATCCTCTTTGTCTCTGAGGGGCTCCTACTTATGACATTGGGTTATTCAAATAAAATTTTCAGTTGCGAGCCAGCGCTCGTCCCCTGTCCCTTCCGCCTTTGTAACCAAACATGTATCCTCTGTACCAACTGGCTCAACTTTCAGTACTGCTGCAATAGTACATCTCTTCCCTGACTGTGTGCAGTACCTGCAAGACTTGGGCTGCCCACACAAGAGTTCAGACACAAAAACTGTGCTAGACTGGCTTCTCGGCCTGGCTGTGCACCTGGAGTATTCGGATGACCGTAAGTGCACCTTTCATCAAAGCTTTTGAAATGTCTTTCCTTGAAAAATTAGTCACATTGGGGATCGTGCTTCAAGCACCACTTCTCTGAGCTTCACAAGAGGCAGTTTCCAGAAAAGTGAGTGAAAGGAGATGCAGCTGGCATTGACTCTCTGTAAGGGATGCCCAAACACTGAGGTGCAACAGCTGCACCAATTTGAAGGAATTCCCCATTTTCGTGTTAGGCTGCCCCGGAACCGTGAAATTTGTCAAAATTGCGCCATGCTGCACTGAAATGTCCCGCCAGCCTAAAATTTTCTCAGTTGCACTAATTTCAGCAAGTAATGAAGGCCACGGTGGCCACCTCTAGTTTGCGTCATTAAAGATGCGCAGACCCTAATCCTAAACCAGAGTATAAGGTATATGCTCATTAAACCTAGACACTCGAGAAACGCAATAGACCACGTAAAGTAACAACGCCATGTGGCCATCGGTTCGCTGACCGCAGCGGATGTCTATCGGTAGGATGACACAACTTCATACCAGAAATATGTTTCCGTAACCAGCAACACTTTGTGGGAAATATGAATTTCCTAGTCAGCAAATATGGCTATGGCATGGTAGGAACTAAAGCTGGAAGCGTATGTTGCTATTACTGCGTGCGAGCAAACTTGACGTGCTGCGAACACCGAAGTTCCTGGCAACCAGATAAGTTGCCATATTAATGGCACATGTGATGGATATGCGGTGCCACCACCAGGCCAACGGGTGTGTGCCCTTCTTACTTTGTCTGGTCAAATATACTCTGCAAGTGAGCCAAGAAGTTGTGCCCTAAACCTAAATCCATCGTGAAAAAAACAAAACAAAATGGGGGGGGGGGGGGGGGTGTCTAGCAGTTTGAAAATGTATTGGCCTTGTTTCAACCGGTGCACAATGCCACTTAAGCCACCTTGGTCGCAGTACTCTAATGGTTTGCAAAAAATCGTAAGATTTGAAAGGGGCTGTAAACACTAGGGTGCTTCGATGCGAGCACCTTCACAGAGTGAGGACAACTGCGTCGTCTGCTAGCGCAACTACCATTTCCTTGCCTCCACGGGTTGTGAGGTGTGTGTTGGCTGTGGGCTTCGCCTCAACAGGGATGGCTCCTACTTTCAGTGGGGGCATGCATGCCCCTTTAGCCTGGATGTATTTATTCCTTTGCTAGAGTATAAGCAAGAGTAGATTCGGTAACGCGACCAGTAATTCGAGAGAATAATTATTATTATTGCAGTTACAACAGTTGACAACGGCCGGCAACTGCTCCACGTCGTAGTAGCACAGCCACCCTGAGCTTTCTGTCGTTGCTCTTGTGTTTGGGCATAGCGGGATGTATAAATAAAGTAAATAACTGCTCAAAAAATCGTATGTTTAAGTAGCACACTTTTAACAGGAACAAGAAAGACACGACACTTAATACTTTTGCAACTAAATTTATTTCATGAAAAATTACTTCATATATATGCACCTACGCTCCCCTCGTGCGACACGGAAATGAAATAACAGTCATTGAAAACTTATCCAATATCAAATATTGCACACTTAATGATGAAATAATAACGGCACATGTGGAAATAAAAGCAGAGCATGTGCAGCCTATACACTTCAAAGAAATAATAATGCAAACCTAAAAAAATGTACAGTTAAGGGTTATTGCAAGACGTTCAGGTAGAACTTGCATGTGCTCAAAATGGACGTTGGCTACAAAAACCTGCATAACAAATGCAATACTACACATTCTCTTGAAGCCCTCCCAGAAAGGTAGCTTCCCGATGAAATTGATAATTGACTAACGCAAGAGTCTTTTCTGTTGTTAATGTGAAATTATTCTTGCTTTCCGTGGTGAAAATCCACTGTGGTGTTACCAAATAGTGGCAAGCAGCCACACTGAGAACAGTGTCCCTTTAGGTGAGAAAAATTATTTCTTCCTAAAGATCTCTTATGTTACCAACAATCTGGTGTTCAGACACTTTTGTTTTATGATTTATCGTGCATTCATTGATAATACATACATATTTTCGTTGCTGAAAGTTTGTGCTTCAATTTTGGACACACTTTACCGAGCGCCAAACAAAGTTTGTAAGATGCAAGTAATCTGTTGAATATTGTTTACCACTGTCGTTTGGGAAAGTATACATTGGCTAGGTTGGTCAGTGTATGAACAACGGGCTGTTGGAATGTACGAGATCTGTTGGAAGAAATTATTTTTTCCACCTTAAGAGACTCAGTGTGGCTGCTTGCCACTATTTGATGACACCTCATTGGTTTAAGAATGCATGAACTGTGAAGCTCATTTCTGCACATGCCGCGATCATTTCATTGTTGAGTGTGCAAATTTTGATATTATAGATAAGATTTCATTGACTTCTATTTCATTTCCTTCTCGCTGGGAAGGATGCATACATATGAAGAATTTTTTCCTGCAATAAATTTAGTTGCAAGAGTAGCGAGTGTCATGTTACGCTCAGTGCGAGCAGGACCTCGTCAGGAGGCAAACCACCTCCTTTTGTCTTGACCGTGGGCAATGCAATTCTATTGTCAAAAAAAAATAATCAAATAAAAAAATAATAAAACTGTCTTTCTTGTCCCTGTAAAAAAGTGCACCACTTAACCATACGGTATAACAAGTACAGTTTCCCGGCATCCTTAAGACCACTGGCACTACTGCGCGGCTACACCATGACATGGCGGCAAACTGTGTCAGTCATACACCAGGTAATCAAAACAAATGCTTACACATGAAGGAGTACAATCATTTGATACTTTGACTAGAATCATTTAATACCTCCGTAAGGTATTATGTCATCGACTGTAGTAGAGACTTAACCATGTTTTCATTGTTTGTACACCACACAATAATACCCTTGAAGGTCTCGTCGTAGTTCTTCAGGGAGCGAATCGCTTCACTGTCTGGATGAATCAATTTTTTTCCATTTTATTCCTTGTATCTTTTTTAGTACCGTCAAAGAAGCATATTTATTGCTGGCTGTGCCAGAGATGGCATTCTTGCACTGAGATTAGGATACTGACATCAAAACTCTTTTTAGTACGAAACCTTCAAGATAGTGTAAAATGCAGCATTTTGTTGACGTCAGCACCTTAATCAATAAATTCTTCGAATTGTTCATTTCTTCATACGAATTTTCCGAGGACTCAATGGGATCGAACAAACAGATCAGCACGAATACGGGCCGTCTTCAGAATGCAAGCGAATTTGCAGTTCTAAATAATTTAACCTTCATGCGCTGCTTCTATTACATGCTAGACTAAGTGTCTTAAGTACCATAATAATTTTGTACACACCGAAACATATAAATGAAATTGATATGATAAAATGCAGCGAAGTACAAGCATAACACACCACATGTTGTTTTGCACTCTCAAATTTTGCTTTCACGCTGCTATACACGCGTGAAGGCCTTTGTGGAAATAAGTGGGATGCGCTCCTGGTTCCGCTTTATGCTTGAGACAGACTGGTCATATTTTCTAAGCCTGTGCCATATTTCATTATAACAAGCCCCGCAGCGGTGGTCTAGTGGCTAAGGCACTCGACTGCTGACTTGCAGGTCGCGGGATCGAATCTTGGCCGCAGCGGGTGCATTTTTGATGGAGGCGGTGTAGGCCTGTGTGCTCAGATTTTGGTGCATGTGAAAGAACCCCAGTTGGTCGAAATTTCCAGAGTCCTCCACTACGGCGTCTCTCATAATCATATGGTGGTTTTGGGACGTTAAACCCCACATAATATATCATTGTTTCATTACAACAAGTAGGGGTGTGTGAGCTTCGTTCGCTACGGTGGAACAGTGGCTACGATGCTCGGCTGCTGACCCAGAGGGTTTAATCTTGGCCACAGCGGCCTCATATTGATCAATGGAGATGTAATGGTAGAAGCCTGTGCAATGTCAGTGGGTCAACATTTTTGGAGGCCTCCACTACAGCGCCTCTCTTGTTCTTGGGATACAAAACATCACGTATTGATGTTCTGAATTTATTTAAAAAGATACCTATCTGAATAATTGAATTCCATTTCCAAATAGCCAGTATTAAAAGTTCCGAATAATTTGACTGTCGCTGTGAATTTGCTACTGTCACCCCACACCACTCGATTAGAAACTCCCATTTTTCTAGCGTGCAATTAGAACGCTGCTGTGAAATAGAACACAAACATTTTTGGGCCCAGAGCACGCATAGTGATCATTACCGAAACAATGTGTGTATGGGCCAGCTAGTATCTCACTTCAGGAGTGTTTACAGCGCAAGAGGAGACACGGGACAAAAAGACCAAGTACCACGAGCACTGTCAGATGTACCATATTTACCACTGTAGTCTTAGCGTAGCACTCATTCACTGCGTTTTAGGTTATGAGAAGATATTATTTCTTTCTACTTTCGATAGTTGGTCACTATTCTGCACTGTTCGATTAGAGTTTGATTTGAAATGAATTTGCACTGCTCACACGTACTTAATATCAAGTGGCGAAAAAAACAGGAGCTGCAAGTGCACCATTTGTTCATTGTTGGTCACCGCTCAAAAACGCATGCAATGATAAAGCATCAGAAAGCCACACGTTTGTCAAAAGCCCTCTAGTCTAAACACACAAGATCGCACATCTGCGTCAAAGAAACAGTGGTGCACAAGCTCTGGTCCATGGATTTCGTACGGCTGTGAAGTCACGCCTATTCACATTCCATATATACAAAAATAGTTTCACGGCTGCCTCTTGTCCCGCTTAAGGGGAAATGCAAATCGAAAAATGCAAATTCTTTCTAAAACTGCATATTTTTCATTTTTATTTGCTTTCACAAGTTTAGTTTCTCTACTTTCACGAAAAAAAATTAGATTGCAACTAAGCTCGAAGTAGGCTAAAGTAGCTTTTAAAGGGACGTTGCGGCTACTAAAGACTAAGAAATAATCATGGTCTAGAGTGAGTCCCCGTGGAAATTGTCACGTGGCTGCTTGCCATTGCAAATCTCATGACGAGTTAA